CGGGGGGAGGCACCCCACTGCCGAGGAGGGGACCGTGGGCTCTCCAGCCCCCCTGCCCGGATGGGCGGCAGGAGAAGCTTCCTGCTCCCAGGGCAGGAGCCTTCCGGCAAGGAGACTCTTCTTTGGTCAAAACAGGATCAACCACATGGCTCGACTCGCTCCAGCTCCTTGACCTGAGTTCACCCAGCCTCTGGGCCTTCCCTTTGGAAATCAAAGCTTAGCCCATCCCGACTGCGCAGGCTGGAGGGCAGAGGAGTACACAGACCTGCTCCTCTGCAAGTGATGGAAGGAAGCCCTTGGCCAGCAGATCCAGGTCTCCTGTCTCCCCCAGCCCAGGCCACCTTCACAACCATGAAATGCGAAGAGGTGGACAGCAGATGCGCAGAGGCAGCGGAGCAGCCTCGGCACAGGCAGACCCACCCCAGCCAGAGTCCCAGGCGGCTCAAACTGGGTGGATGCAGATTCACACATAAGGAACCAGATTGCTGAGGAATGAGAGATGACTGAAACCTCTTGGACAGGAACGCTCTGGGCTCAGAAAGCTGCCAAACATGCTTTGGTTATGGACAGGAGCCCAGATCCATCAGGGACAAAACCCCCTGAAATAACAGGCTTGGGGGAGAGCAATGCCGGAGCAACCAGGGCTCACTCGGAGCCGATAGCTCAAGCACAGCAGAAAGGGACAGTGAGGTGCCCTGCAAAGGATGCAGGAGAGATGATGGTGTTTGGCCTCCTGCACACTCAGTGCCAGCTGGTGCCCGGTGGGTTACAGGCATGGAGGGGACAGTGACCTCCTGCACTCTCGGACATGGGAGGGACAGGCAGAGCCATCCTTGGGCAGCTGCCTGCCATCCCGCAGGAGCACCCAGCGCAGGCACAAGGGATGAAGGTCACTTCTCTGCACCCTTATGCCAGCCCAGCAGGAAAGGGACAAGCCATGTCCCAGCCCCGTGAAACCCGGGAAGAGCAGGAGAGGGACCGAGGCCCAGATGCACTCCAGTGTTTAAGTTTCCAACCCTGCTTAATAAATCAGAGCATAAAGACCTCGGTGGCAGCGTGACAGCTCTCAGCCGCCACGTTTGAAGGCTGTAACCGAGCTGAAAGCTGATCCCAGGTCCCCAGTGGATAAGCCGCTGTGTCATCTCTTCTCTGCAAGAAACTGCCTGTACAACAACCACTGTCTTGGCCGGCACTCTGGGGAACGAGCCTGGGAGCTCCAGAGCCGGAACGTGACTCCATCCAGCCGGAGTCGGGGAGCCGGGCTCCCCTCTCCCCACCGAGAGGTTGGCATATGCACTTTT